AGAGCAGAGGGTAGGACGGGAGTGAATCTCAAAAAGTCTCCATGCAAGGGGCTTCTTCCCACTTCTCTGTCCAGTGACAGAAATTGTCCAAATCAGTGAGGATTTGAAAAATCAAAAGTTCCTTCTGGGGGTCATTTTGATCCATTGTCTAAGTCCTACTGGAGCCAGGCCACAGTGGAGTAAAAGACCAGCCACTTATGGTGTAGGTCTTGAGTGAGTTCTAATTTGGCAAAATTGGAATATAAACAACCCAAAGGTGTTTGGGGTCTAAGGAGGACTCAGTGTTTCCCATGACCCTCCAGCACTCTTGGGGGTGGGTGGGAGCAGAAAAAGGTGTCCCAAATTTTGATCACCCAAGGAATGGATAAGGGCCGGGCGGGGGTTGAGACATCCCTTCAATCCATGGGGGGGCCTAAATGGATCGAAATGGCTCACAAGAGGACTGGGGCCTCTCCACTGTTCCTGGGGCCTTGAACAGAATGGATGGGTGTCTATGGCACGTGCGTGGATAGACCCCCAGGACAGAGAGGGGCTGGAAGGTCAGGGAAACAAGGGAACTTATACCACTTCTGTCAAACTGGATGAAGGGAGAGGGAAAGAAAGAGCAGCTTTGGAATTTCCTGTTTCATTTGAAGGAGAGGGTGGACTCTACCCCAGATGTAAGGTATGGGGAAGGCCCGAAAAGCCCTCCCGGGTTTCGGCACCAGATGTAAGGTCAGGTCCCAGTGACCAAAAGGAGGCAGATTAAAAGGCTGCTGAACAAGGCTTTATTGAGATTTGGTTTCGGGTGAGGTGAGACCCCCCAGCCCAACAGTGCGGGTCCCAGGGAGTCGGGTGCAGGCTCATCCAGATTTGAATTTTTATTGGGCTTAGGGCAGGAGAGGAGAGCTTGGGACAGAAAAGGGAGGTTTTTAGAGTCTCTTGTCCTACTGGGGTTGGTCGGGGGCAGCTTGCTGAGATCCAGGATTGGTCRGGAGACCCCACTGGTTGACAGGTGGTTCTCTCAGCACCTGATTGGTGCTTCTGTCATGTGTGGGTTGCCTGGTGCTTTGTTCTCTTAGCCTCCTCAAACCGACCTAACACTGAGAGGGCAGATATGACAGTATATGGATTCAGCTTGATGTGATGGCAGCCATCTTGATTTGTAACCACCATGATTGCCCCAGAGTTATCCTAGTCTGTTTTTCCTGCACGGTTTCCCAGCAAACTGGACAAAACCATTCGAGTGGCATGTGGAGCTTTATAACCATAATCTGGCTTTATGCATGTTCCCCTTAGATATTAGTTAGAGATCAACCAGGTACCTTCCAGCCAGGATGAAGTCACTTTTTTCCTAACCAAGCTACCTGCTCCTCCTTCTGACCCAAATTATTGGAATTCAATTGGTTTTACTGTCACCCAGGACAAACCTTCCATCAGTAAGTCCCCCAATAAATCATGCCCTGTGAAATTCTGGATCTGCATGTGTCTTTCTTGGGTCKCAAGCACCTTAGAACTGGTCCTCCTACTCTGAGATAGGCTGAAAAAGAAGGAAACCATGATATCAGGCCTGCCAAAGCACAATGCTCCTGGACTAGTTGGTCTGGACATCACTTTATAGGAAGTGTAACATTTAACCAGCTGTGGCCATCCGTTCCTCCTTCTATCAACCAGTTACTCACAGATTCTTTTCCTTGGGAACAAAACAAAACAACTCGACCTCTCTTCTCCTAGGAACAGAGGGCCATCCCTGAGCCCCCAGGCTTGGGGGTTACTCCCATCGGTCTCCTGATGCTTTTGAGTCAAAACTTCATGTTCCTTTTCTTTTCCAAGTTCCCACAAGTACAGTAAGGCTACCTAGGCACTAATTATCAAAGAAAGAAGATTTCAGATTCAGACTTGGAAAGAAAGCTCAGGAAAGATTCTTACTAACAGGGGTACTTCTTTCACTTTCAAAAATCAAGACTCTTTTGGGGCTATGTCCTGAAGAGGTCCCCAAATTCACTCTCTCCAGAAAGGATCCTTCCTAGAGCCTGGTTTCGGTGAATATTCACAGACTTACACAATCAGGCTGGTTGTCTGCCTGAAGAAGCCCACAGTCAACCTGAGTGCTGCAGGTTTCAGAAAATAACAGCTTATCCACTGTTATTTTGCTTTTAAATGCTAGTGACTGTATTTGTCAAATCGAGGACTATTTGGTTCTTTTTAGATTTCAAATTTTTGGTGAAATTCCCCATATTTTCAGTGAATATATTAATAGCACCTATTTTAAATTCATGTCTAGTAACTCCACATCACCTGGAGCCTGTTGATCTTTTTTTTTTTTTTTTTGCTTTTCAGTTAATCTGGGTTTCCTCCCCATTCTTGGAAGGTCTGTTAATGTTGTTTTTAGTATCAGACATGGCTTATAAAAATTTGTAAAGGCTCTGTATGGCACCTTTATCTACAGGGGAGTTTTTCTTCTGGTGAGTGAAGAGAGTTCCAGCAGACCCTTGATATCCAGTTTAGGGTTTACCCCATTACCCACGAGGGTCAGAGACATATGCAACCTCAAGCATATGTTTGGAAGACAGCTGCATATCACTAAGTCTAAAACTGATWATTCTTGGACACAGCACTAATTCTAGTTATTTCTCCCAAGGAAATGATAGTACATGAAGATGAATGTCACCATCCTAAATTTTTCATTGAACTGCTGTTCAGAAGACACAATCTGAGCATTCATCAGGATAAACTGGTTAACACGTAATATATCCATAYACTGAAATGCTGTGCAATTTAAAAATAGATCAATATTGATAGAAAATGTTTCTAACATTGCATGAAGAAAAATGTTACAGAATTGTATGCATATTATTGTAAATTTGCTTCATAAAATAGAATGTGTCCATATACCTAGATTGATACTCGAAAAAATATTCAATTAAATATTCAGTTTATGTTAATCAGTGGAGTTTCCACTCATATTGTAGTAATGTTTTTTGTATTATTTTGCTTGYTTACAAACTTCAAGCATTATTTTTTAATTCTAGGAATAAAAATATAATTTTATTCTGGAAAAAATACAGATAGCTTAAGGTTTACTCTCTTATGTGTGGCTAAAATGGCAAATAATAATTATATATACTTATGTTTAGACATGGTATACTTAGAAAAAAGTCAAGACTCTAAATAACTAAGAGGGACAAAAGGTTCAGAAAATCGGCTGCATTGGAAGTTGACAGAGCATCTACTGAATCATGAGTTGGTGTGAACACATGTGGGAACCCACCAGAAGGGTGGAGATGAGGGAATCACAAATAGTCAAACCTGAGCTGTTTCAGCCAGGCCTGTGCCCTCCCATATCTGTATTCTTTTAAATTATGCATACCAGCAGATCTTCCTTTCGGTTTCAGCTGGTTAAGCTGGATTTTTWAAATCTCTCAAAATTGAAAACACCCTAATATAAACAACCATGAGCCCTGGTGGCCCAGAGTAGCATCTGGTGGTGACAAAGCAGAGTACAGCTGGCCCTGGATTTCRGATAGTAACGTGACACTTGAGGTGCCACGGAGCTTCAACACCCATTGTCCTGGAAGGTAAGGTCCAGGGAAAAGATGGTGGGAGACTGTCCCACCTGCACTGGACATACACCTGGCTGTAAACCCTTCAACTGACAAACCTGAAAACTACTAAAGATCTGAGAAGTATGGAGTGGTGTCTAGAATGCTCCGTGGGCTGATGAGCTTAGTCCAGTGTCCAAACTGCATGTTCCATGATTTCCCCTTTCTGCACTCCCTTTCCTCATGAAGCTTATGGAATCAGAAGCCTTTTTGTTTCCGTTTGTTTCTGTCACATAAGACCTAAAGAGGACAGTGAAATTTATACTATCCAGAATTTACGGTACCCTGTACAGAGAATATCTTMAATGTTAAGATCAAAAACTAGTCCATTACTCTTGGAGCTAAGCAGAGAGCAGGAGCCAATTGTAGAAATCTTATACAAAGAGCAGACTTGGGCTTTTAGGTATTTTTATTAAATTATCATTTATCTTGAGTTTATCTTTAAGGCTTTTTATAAGAACTCTTAGCACAATTTACTACAACTAACTGGGGTTGGGTTCACAGTTTTGCAAGTGTTCTCCTTATGATAGGTTTTTCCTCTTGTCATGGTTTGGATATGAGGTGTCCTGTGTTAATGCAGGAGTATTCAGAGGAGAACCATTGGATTATGAGAACTGTGGCCTAATCAGATTATCCTAGCTTGAAGGGCTGACTGGGTAGTGACTGCAGGCAGGTGGGGTGTGGCTGGAGGAGGTGTGTCACTGGGGACAAGCCCTGAAAGGTGTATCTTCTCTGCCACCCCTTCCCCGCGCGTGCTCTCTCGGCTTCTTGACCCTCAAGAGTGAAGCAGCACTTCTCTGCCACACCCTTTGGCCATGATGCATTGCCCCACCTCAGCCCCAGAGCAATGGAACTGGCCAGCCRAAGACTGAATCTCTAACAGTGAGTTCAAATAAACTTTTCTCCTCTACTTTGCCCTGGTGGGGCATTGTGGTCACAGCACTAAAAAGCTGACTAACACACCTCTCAAGGTAAACAACTCTAGGACACCGGCTATTCATTGGGCAATGGTTCAAGGTCATGGTCACAGTGTGGTGCACTTGGAGCTCACCTTCTAGTGGATGTGGATTTGTTAGTTTCGTCATTTTACTCCTGTGAAAGCCCTGGGCTGACTTTTAATTTTTAAGGTCTCTATTGCCTATGAAGGCTCTGGGTGGAACCTCTCTGGTTGCATCCTTCCAAGGTTTCTCTGCTGTGGGTTCCCTTGAAAACTGACATTTTAGTCTCTGCCTCAGACACGGTATTCATGCAAAAAAAAAAAGATTTTCTCCAATGAAATTTGTAAGACTGTAAAAAATAATTTACTCATGAATTCTTAAAACACATTTAAAAAATACTTTTGCCACAAGGATTTTCTGAGGAAAATGAGAGTCTAAGTCCTGAAGAACACCTTTCCTGAACTGATCRTGTGGGTTGGGTTTATTGCCAGTGTGGACTTTCGGATGAACYTGAAGACATGAACTCTGACTAAAGCCCTTCCCACACACAAAGCATCTGTGTGGTTTCTCACCAGTATGGACTCTCCTATGGGCCTGCAGATGTGAGGTCCGGCTGAAGCTCTTCCCACACAGGGTGCATTTATAGGGCTTCTCCCCTGTGTGGATCCTCTGGTGAACATGGAGATATGAGTTCCAGATGAAGCCCTTTCCACACTCCTCACATCTGTCGGGCTTCTCCCCTGTGTGCACTCTCTGATGGGCCTGAAGATGCGAGCTCCAACTGAAGCCCTTCCCACACACCTCCCACGTGTAGGGCTTCTCTCCCGTGTGGACTCTCTGATGGGCTTGAAGGTGAGAATTCCGGCTGAAGCTCTTGTCACACACATCRCATCTGTAGGGTTTCTCTCCAGTGTGAATTCTCTGATGAGCATGAAGGTTTGAGGCCTTACTGAAGCCCTTATGGCCTACCTCACATGTAGATGGCTTCCCTCCAGTGTGGACTCTCGGATGGAGAGCAGGATCCTGGTTATGTCCCCTCTCACATGCCTCCCAACTTCATGTTTTGTCTCTGGGGAGGACTCTCTCACAGGGGTCCAGCTTCTCTCCTGGCCGAGCTCATGACTTGGAAGAGAGGAGTTCTCATTGAGGCTCTGAGCACACACCTGACACTTGGAGGGCTCCTCTCCTGGGTGGACACTGATGAGTCTGTAAGCAGGAGCTCAGACCAAAGCCCTCACCATTCTCATTCCTGCAGTGTCTTCCACCCAGGTGAGTGCTCGGATGCAAGGTCAGCAACAAGCTATGATGCATGGTCCTCCCACACTCAGTACACACAAGGGGCTTCTCTCCCAAGGGCAACTGCTGGGGAAGGTCAAGGTCAGAGCCAACACTGAAGCCTTTTCCATCCTCATGGGAGGTTTGCTCTTGTGAGGGTCTGACCCTATGCTGGGGTGATTTCTTCATGAATTCTTTTCTGCCATYGTTGGGGCTAGAAGCTTCCTCTCCTTTGTGTGCTTCCTGGTCATCACAGTCACATTGACACAGTTTATTTTTTATGTCAGTTTGATGGCATCTTCTCTGGTAATTCTGAGATTCTTCCACATTCATTTTTCTTCAGAAATCCCAGGTGGTCCTAATTGGAAACTCTTGCTTTTTGACACTATTGGAACTCTCCCTGTGAAGCTTCACTACACAGATCTCATCTCCAGGAACTGGAACAGAGGCTCCTGTCCACACCTGKGCATCACCTTTTCTTGGCAACTCAGACCTCTTGCCTTGAAGACTTAGGATAAAGTCCTGATTTCTGGTTAATTTACTTGTCAATTGTTCCCATATTTGCCAGCATGTAAGGTCTTCATGTAAAAGGTATCTTAACCCTACTTCTTGGAGAGTCTCTGTCTCATTTTGACCCCTGCATCCTGGAAGGATAAAGAGATTTGGAGAAGAAAATGAGGACAAATAAGAGTTTGTTCAGAGATTTAAAAAAAAAAAACATTTCACAAGCTGACCACACTGGGAGAGCTATTCCCCCACTGGACAGGTGAATGTGACTTTATCCTTGCTCTTTTCATGACTATGGAAACACCAAGGTAATCCTATTACCTCCTTAACCATAAGAATAATTACTTAAAAATCCTGCCCCTGGCTGGGGATACAGTTTGGTAGCAGACTGTTTGTCTAGCAAGCCTGAAGCCCGGGGTTTGGTCCTCAGCACCAAACAACAATAAATACAAACTTCCCCCCAATGCAAACAGAAACAAAAACCCTGTTCTCTTTTCTGCAGCAGGTGTGTAGGATCAGCAGCATCATGGTCACACTGACAACCTACACATCACATGTGGCAAGTGGGCCCAAGGTGACAAGAGGACCTGAATCTTTTCATGTTCACAGGCAGATTACCTCCTGATGCCAAAAGATCCCAAGGAGAGAGAGAGAGGGTGTCCTCCATAGAAGTGAACAGAATTTATCTGCAAAGGGAAATATCTCCTCCATGAGATAGTACATTTATTTCCTTTACTTAGCTATTAAACCTACATCTTAAACAAGCATGATTTGAGAGAATTCCCCTTCATTTTGATGATTTCCTGCTATGTGAACTCAACTGGTGAACATTACATGAGCAAAGCCAGTAGAAAACTGATTCCTATGGCTGATACAACTATGGCAATAAAGTATTGCCACTTAATTTGGCTAACTTTCGTAGTAAATCTGAATAGCCAACATTATCTTCTGGGTTTCACAGGTATGTGTCTACGTATACCACAGGATAGACACTCGGCAGATCTAAGAAACAGCACTGTTGGGGTTTAAGTGTGCAGAGTTTAGCTCYCTCAGCCTGACACTTTGCAAGAGCTGTGGCTGTGATTTAGGTCAGCTGAGGCAAGCCTCAGCTAGGAGGAGGAAAAGTTCTCTTCCCCTTATCGCAATTCACAAGTTCTGCATGGTTTGGCCTAGAGGAAGAAGCTTCCTGCATACTGGACCTGGGAACAGTACATTCTAAAGAAGCAAATGCATCCTCAGGGGATTAGATAATGTCTACAAAGAACTTTGGGAGGGTACTTATCAAATGAACAGGAACAATCTGAATTTAGCTCTGTGTACCCGCTGAGACATGGTATTTGGGCAATGTGGGTGAAGTGTTACTGAAGAATTGCTTGCTTTGTTAGAAGAAGAATATAAAAGGAACTTGCAAATAAACCTCAGCATGCAGTTGCAATTGCTGCCTTGGCTCTGCATCCCCTGTGTCCCGGTGATTTCGTGACCCTTACCCAGGGACCCGAACGCACTAGACGTTCACACAGCACCTTCWTGCCGCTGGAAGGGGCTGAGAAAAGAACAGATTCATGGAGTAAGTGAGTGGGTGGCCAGGTCATGCAGGACACAGAAGGCCCTTGACGGATTTTGGATTTAATTGAGTGAGACTTAAGTCATGGGAGGGCCCGGAGCACAGGAATGACCTAACTGCCTGACAGATCTGGCTGTGTGACGGCTGCTGCAGAGATGGAGATGATGCCAAGGGGTGGGCTGGGGTAGTCTCCATGGATGGGTGAGAAGGGAAGACCYGGGCTGCCCCTGGAAGCCTCAGAGCTGTGTGGCTCTCACCTGAACTCTCATCTTCTTTGGTTTCTGCCTCCATCATCCAAAGCTTCTCCTCTCTTCCCCATGGCAACATCATACCCAGTTTGAAGGGTTTATAGCCTGTGAAAAAGATAAGGCAGGGCTGGGATGGGCTCAGTGGTTGTCTAGCAAGTATGAGGCCCTGGGTTCCATCCCCAGCACTGCAAAAACTAAAATGAGAAATACCATACATAGAAGTGAATGTCTTAAATGCAAAAAAATTTAATTCCAAGATTGCAATCCTCATGCACTTTAAGTAGCAATTATTTTTCAAAATTCTATTGTGCCCTATTATTAAAAAATTTTTATAATCCAGTATAGACATGTGTAAATCACTAAATCAAGTGACCAGTGGATCTGATGCTAACCAACACCCACTGTTATTACCTCTCCTTTCCTATTTCATTCACTATTCTTGGATACTGTATGTGATTCCTAACAAGTTGTATTTCTACTCCACTGCATTAAAAAATGGTGTAACTCACCAAT